TAAAAACCCTGAAAACTATACATTTCACACCTGAGCCTCAACTCTCGCGGCCCGGTACCAAACGACTCACGGACCGGTACCGGTCCGAGGACCGGGGGTTGGGGACCGCTGCTATTGATTACCAGAAATACAAATGAAATTCATATGGCTAATTCATGATCTTTTGATATGACTTGGATCCTTGCTACAACATTTCTAAAAAAAAAAAAGCCAAAAAAAGCTATAAATATGGAGCAATATTTAACAAAAAAATGTGACATAAAAATGATTTTTCTCTAACTTGGTATATACATGCTTAACAATACTGGATCATTCCACTGTGAAAAAAAATATATATACATAGCTAAACCCCAGAAAGGAAAAAAATCACTAATTATGCTACCATCCACAAACACTAATGAGTTTCTACATATGGAGCCAAACTGCAGTAACATCTATTTATCATCGGCTCAGAGGTACTGAATAATTAACAAAACCATTCTAATAATTCAGAATCATTATTTATTCATCAATGTTTTCATTTTTCTCTTTTTCTATCAATACAGCTGTCTGAACACATGCTGTACAAGAACACTGTGTAAAAGTGAAAGAGCATCTAATTTTCACAGTGCTGTAGCTCTCACTGTGACAGGTTTTATTATGTCACTAAGCTGTGAGTCTGCGTTCACTGAGCTAATTTCAAGAGCAATATTGTCGCTGTCAGAACCTTTCATCTCTCCTGTTTTTTTTTGGTTTTTTTTGCTTTTAACTGATCTGAAGGTTTGCATGCAACTCTGTGGGGTGAGATATTCTTTTTTAAATGCTAAAGGCTATTCACGGACTAAAAAACCTTTCAGCAAATAAATGCAGAGGTCTGCACAGAGATGTCTGAGGAAACAGAGAGAACTGAACAGTTTAAAAAAGAAAAACAGTTCTACATTTGTACAGTGCAGTGACATGGGAACTCCACCGGCCTATCAAATACGTGCAAGCTTTTTATAACATATACCTCATATCATTATAAACTATTAAACACTGTTTAGGTATTAGAGAACCCTTAAAACCTGCAAATTTGAATTGCAATTCATTCGCTCTCTTGCGCTTCAGTCATGCACCCATCAATAAAGCATTTTTAAATACAATGCCTTTCTTAATCTGAATGCACAGTAAGGCTCAAAAATGCCTTCAAAGCCTTGCAATTAACACCTAACGTGCTTTGTTATTCAGCAGGATATGTTCCTTAGTTCCATTTTGCATATAAAAGCTTTTCACCTGAAAACACCACCTGCCAGGACTCATGCCTAAGCACTAAACACTGACAAGTGAACCAGGACTAAACAAAGATATCATTTTGTGACCACTTATTCTGCTGTTAGATATGTGTGCTGGGGTTAAGGTAGCACTATTCTACCCATATATCATACATAGTGTGACACATAAACAAAAACGAAACAGCCACTGTTGCTGGTGAGTGAGACACACCGGGGAGTTTATTTCCTCGCTTCTAGGATGAACAGAAAATGATGTCGTCTATGGCAGTGAGAGGGTACCGAGTCCTGGTTAACCTCACTCACATACTAGAATGATGTAGTATGTGATAGTTATCATAATCATCCGAGCAGGCGAAACAACATTAAGTCACAGCATTTGCCTCACTGACTTTGAAAAGTAAATGAACTTCTTTAAACTTTGAACTTTTTACAGGCCCACTAAATAATTTGAAACGTTTTATATGTGCAAGAAAGCTAACCCGCATTGGCTCTAATAATTACATCCTGACAAACCAGATGTCGAGCCTCACTCGTAGAACCAAGAATCGTGCTGAAAACTTTGTTGCTGAAGTGAAAAAGGACCCATACTTTCCCCCCGCAGGGAATTAATTCTATAAAACAGGTGAGCAGTAGCTCTCTACCAAGAAATGAGTCTCTCTCCTCCAGACAATACAGAGTTTTGTGTTTGTGTCAAACTGCAAACTGATTGATTTCTCTGCAAAGAGGCAAACCTCAGAAATGTATAAAAAGAGAGAATTTGGTCTGGTTTCAACAATATTCTCAGCATAGTCCATCAGTCATCACTACAAGCACAGTTCTCATACCTGTGCATTGATATAAGCATATTTTCTATGCTAAGCGCTTTGCCTAACATCCACGCACACATTTTGAAGGATGCATCAGGAGCCACTTTGGATTCAGTAACTTTCCCCAGGATACTTTGACATACAAACTAAAGGACCCGCTCTACCTCCTGAGCCACAACCACTCTTAATCAAACAGTTCTTGAAAGCACCTGCAAGACTTAAATACACAAAAGTATTAATCAGTGGAGCTTTTGGAGTATCAGATAGGTGAGAGTAAATGTTAAATATTGTGGCTGCCAAATTATTAAATTGTTTTTGAGAATCTGTCAGTAATTGAAACGTAATGATTATAATTCCAAATATATCTAATTTCTCATCAAGAACAGACAGACTGAGCAACACAAACTAACCCAGAATCATAAATTTATTACAAGTGCTCTCTGGCAATATGACGAAACGCATTCGCAGAATAAAGCACAGCTGCAGCAGCCTGAATCTTCACTGATCTGATAAGTAACTGAACTGTCAAGAGCATAGTCGAATAAAAAAATGCTGCCTATAATAATGGGAAACAGATAAAAATCTTAATCACTTACGAAGCACTTGATACAAAGTTTTCTGTGTATGCTGAGGAGATGGATGTCTCACCAAACTGTTTATATAAATTTACACCTTTGCTTACTTCTTATATTAGCAAATATTTAGGTTTTTCTTTGTTTTAAACTCTCACTGACTTCATTTTGGCTCAGAAAGAGAAGTTTGATTTTAAAATCCAGTACACAACGGCAGGTTGGTGTATTCAGGTTAGACAGCTTCCAAAAGTCTACATTGGTTGTTGTAAGTTTGAAATATATTACCAATATTAAACTAAACTAGATACAAGATTTGCTATCAAATTAATAGATCTGAGAATGAAGTGTGCATGTCAAAACAGCTCTTAAAGGAGCCAAGTACAGAGTGACGGTTTACAAGAGCAAAACAGCTCTCAGCATGCACTGAAGCTCATATCTGCAAAAACAGGAGCAAACAGCCAGTCTGCTGATATTACACACCAGAAACGCTGAACAGGACATGACAGAGTAACAAACCCAGCCTGTCAGCTCCAGGTCTGCTTCACGAAGACCGACAGTAAAACAGACTTTAGTGTCTGTTTGTGTCTCTGTCTGTGTGCAGCTGCAAACACGTATTCAGAGAACTGAGATCACTCTTCGGGCAAAAGCAGTCCCGTCAGAGACACGAGCAGTTCGGTGGAATTTGATCGGTCCATGAAACACCTGCCCATCATCAGCAGCACCAGCATCCCCACATCTGCCATGCTGCACCCGCAGCATTCAAATATAAGATACATAAAAATCCATTTTGGACTTTACAAGAATTTTAAAAAAAATGTTGTGTGATTACGATGGGGCAAACTGAAGAGCCAAACTCATGAAAATCCAAATAAATTCTGTAAGAGATTAAAAAAACAGCACATTTCATTTTCTTTTTAAAAAAAAAAAGAAAGAAAGTGAACAAAACGTAACAAAAAAAGAAACTGAAAATAAAGACAAGAAAGGGCAGAAGACTGGTTTTCCCTCCAACAACAACACAAAGCAGAGAGTAAAGAGCTCCGGCAAAGACTTGCAGGATAACAGAGAAATCCAACAGCTAAAAAAACAAGGGGATGAGGGGGACAAAAAAGAAGAAAAAAAAGAAAAAGAAGGGATATCAAACCTGAAAGAAAGAAAAAAAAATGAAGACAAGAGGAGGGGAAGAACTGACCTTCCAACGTAGGAGGTAAAAACGCTGAAAGAGGCTGACGGTGAGAAGGTGAGAAGAGCTGACAGCGTTCGGGGACGACGTCCGGAGTGCGCTCGGTAAACGGGCTGAAGCTCTGACTGGCAGAGCAGCCGCTGGAGCTGCGACAAACAGCAGCAGCGTGTCGACTGGAGCAAACCACTGAGCACAGGCAGGGAGGGGGAGCTGCTGCTGCTGCTGGGAGCTCTGTGGGTAATTTGGCACTTGGATTAAAAAGCGCACGACAAACTCACTTGCAAGGAAAAACGAAAGAAAATTTACCGCATGTGTCTAATTTTCCATAGCTGCTGGTAGCTAATTGCCCAGATTTTCCTGCAATCATAAAGCAGTTCATTCATTGTTCATTCACAGAACACAGGCTTAAAATGTGGACCCATTGTTAAAAAAATACAACATCATACGTTTACATAGGAAAAAATATCATGTAATTGTTGATCTATTACTTAAATACTTAAATAGATGAAATAATGAATGGCCATGGGGGAGGTCTTCATCTGCATAAAGATGTAGAGTTTATGAACACAGTCAAAAATCAAAAATTTATGGTCCAGATTGGAGTCTGTGAGGACTGACTCTAGCCTCTGCACCTTATACTGGACACCCTGGTTTAGTGCATTGGCGAATTTAGACCTTTTTTAATGGGTGCTCAAGCATCCCTAAATTTCATTATAGAGCCTCTCAAAAACACTATAGTAACAATAAAAACGTACTTTACTAGTATTTTCTGACATCATCTTCTAATGGTCTATTTTGTCAGCTTAAGTTACAACAAAAACAAGGTAAAATGTTCTTTGTTCTTGATGTCATGATGTTACATAGCTCTTACACGCTGTGGCTTCTTAGTAATAAACAAGACAAGGTTATTGCTGTTAAAAGAAAATGAAGAGATTATTCAAAGTACACTTTACCTGAAACATCAACAAGCAGAAGTGCAAGTGGTTCTGGGGGGTCACAGCAATGACCCTGCATTTGGTTACAGAAAGAGATGATTATGTATATTTGTTCTCTAAATAGCGTCAAAACATTTGGTAATACAGTAGAGATTTTTAGATAACTTTAGCTTATAAGCTATAAATCTGCTACCATAAGTTGCCAGCCAGTGAGCTGGTGTGTTTTATTTTATTAGTTCAATAAAGTTTTCTAGTTTGGCCAAATTGGGCTTCATTGTTTGTTTACTGATTGCAGAGCCTCAGAGTGCAAGTCAGAAAGATGTTATGTGTCAATGGCCAGCAGCCAATTCCTAGCGAATTTAGTTATGTAAACATGCTTCTTTATTGGATGACAGCATGAAGATTGAGAGAGGGGGCTAGATGAAGACAGTGGACTAGTCAGTGTCATCAAAAGTTATAAAGCTGAGGTATCCTCTGTTTCACCCACATTCATTGATGATCACTGATTTGGATTCATATCACTCTGAACATGGCTTGAACAGGATGGCTGCCAATAGATTTGAGTGAGACACTGCTAATCTATCCTCCACAGAGCTGGGTACCTGGGATCGTGTCTTTATTGTGTAATATAAAAGAAGGGTTTGTATAAATTCAAAA